AAAGCTGATGGGGTACTTCACTTCAGTTGATGCTTGTGCCAAGGGTGAAGAGGCAGGGACTTTGCAGTTGAGAAATGGACTCCAGAGCCAGCTGGAGATGCAGCCAAGGTCGCACAGTGAATAGCAGAGCTGGCCTCAAACCCAGTTCCTCCTGACTCTGAACCCCAAGTTCTTTATGCCCCTCTTCCAGAGGGGCTGCCCAGCATAGCAGCCACCTAGCTATTTCAAATCTAAACGGGCCCAGTTGCTGGGTTCCATGGGTCCATATGCTGCAGGCTGATGGTGCCCATCTGGCCTTCCGGACACTGCCAGGCCCCAAGGCCAGACCCAGCTCTGTTTCAGGGGGTTTGGAGAAGGTAGGGCACCACCCCCACAAGGTGGCAGCTGCCTCTCCACTCCCTAAAACTGCCCAGATGGGGCTGGTGCAGGGAGCTGGGGGTGTGGCTAGAGTTGCACAATAGTGTGAATGAAGTGGAAAAGGCTGGGAGGTAGAAGTTTTGATTCCACACAGGACCGCCCTGTGCAAAGAATGGAAACTGTAAGCACCCACAAGTAAACACCTGGTGGGGGCTCTTCCTGCTTGGGGGCACTCCCTGGGCAACAGTGTGGCCTAGAGGACAGAGCAGCTCTGCTGGAAGGAGAAAACTTAGCTTCAAGTCCCACCCTCAACACCTGCAGCGCTACAGTCACCAGTCACATAGAGTTCACTCACCTGGCAAATGCTGCTGTGCTGGGTGCTCCCCAGGAGTTGTGGAGGTTCAGTGGAAGCCTCTAGGTATTTGTGAATAGAGTACCCCTCTGGCCAGTGAGCTGGGGTGGTGTGGTCCCCCAGTCTGTCTGGGAGTCTGACCGGAGGAGCAGCCCCCTCCCTCAGGTCCAGGAGTGAGCATGGACCACAAGATTTCCTCATTGTTGTCTGGCCCCAGGACTCCGTGAGGGTGGCAGATCTGGGGGCTCTGAGCCAGGTTGCGTCTCTGCACCCCGCCTCTCTGGGGAGAAGCAGGGGAATGGGGTGCAGCCAGCCCGCGTACATGGGGAGTGGCTGCAAGCAGCACAGCTTTGCTATTAATGTAGTCGGTAAATAAATAGAGGAGGGCGCGTGAGCTTAGCGTACAGCAATCAGTTTAGAACTGCAGGGTAATTAGCCCTGCAGGGGGCTGCTGCGGGGCTGTAGAGTCAGGTTTAAATAAGTGAGTTCACTTTCACTGAGGGACCCCCTGGAGAGCAGAAAACTGGGTCCAGAGAAGCGCCTGCCCTCCTGCCAGCCTGAGAGGGGCAGAGCTGGGAGTGGGGAGTGGCTGGGCCCAGAAGCACAGCGGGAGCTGGGGGCCGGCCCCCATGTCTGCTGAGGCCCAGGTGTTTCCATGCACACACCCCCCCAGCACCCTCAGGCAGTGCCCTGCCTGTGAAGTGTCACTGCCCTGTGCTCATGACAAATGCAGTTGAGGTGTCTCCAGGAGCTGAAATGAGCACTTGTGCGGGCAGCGGGAGGCGCCTGTGCAGCCGTGACTGTGTGCTCAGGCGTGCGTACCGCGGGGTGGGGGCCGGACAGGCGTGTGAGGAGCACTACCTGCCGGGCCAGTGGCAGCCTCAGCCCCACAGCCCAGATGCTAAGGGTGCTAAGGGCCTCTCTCCTCCGCCCCACCCCTTCTCCCACTCTTTCTTTCAGCTGTTTATGCAGCAAAGATGTCCTGGGTGCCTGCCCCGTGCCAGACAGCGTGAGGCTCTGAGAACAGGAAGATGCACCATGCAAGTCCTGCCCTCCAGGAGCAGAACACTGGGTTGGCGGTGAGGCAGCCGATGACGGGGGTACATACCAAACAGAACCACAGAGGCTGGTGCAGGAGCAGCTGCAGAGGCCCCCGATGGCCAGGGAAGATACCCAGGGGAAGGTTTGAGCTGACACCTGAATAAGGAGTTGAGGAAGCCAGACTGAGGGAGAGAGGTGAGCATGTGTGGGTGCAGCGCCTGTGAGAGCAAATGACAGGAGCAAAGGTCCCAGCTATCCACCCACGGTCCAGGCATCTGGAGCAGGGAATAGGTAGGGGTGGCTGAGGGGCCTGGGGTGGGTAGAGAAAGGGGCTCTGTAGCTGAGGGGCTCGTAAGCCTGGTGAAGGAGTTTGTATTCGGTCCTAAGAGTAATGAGGAGCTGAGGGACTTTCATCTAAGGAGTGGCATGATGCCATTTGCAATTTTGGAAAAGCCCTCTGGCCGCCAGAAGCAAGTCAGAGGCTGGAGTAGAGGGAGGGCCTGCCTGGAGGCAGAGCACCTGGCATCAGTGCTCTTCAGTGCCCCCTTCCTGGTAGGGGGCAAGGGCTCCAGGCAGCCAGGTGAGGAGGCCTGGCAAGGTTGAGGCTGTGGCCTTGGACTTAGCTGACCTCTCCCCGCGGTCGCTGCCACAACCAACTTGAGTCCTCAGCAAGCCTCAGCTGGCCGGGACCTCGGGTCTCGAGCCCTTGGGCGGCCTGAGAGCTGCAGAGGCTGAGACCGCGTGTCTGGAGGTGTGCCCACCTGACTAAGCAGCTGTGACTTGCAGGGACCGCGTGTCCTTGGAGACACATGCAGGAGGAATGGATCCCTGGCCCCTCGTCCAAATCCAGGAGTGCCCTCGGGTCCTGGGGGAGATTGCCCGGGCCGGGACAGAGGGCAGCTGTGGGCCAGGCTGGCAGGGGTGGGCGGCCAGTCACCTGCCCCTGGGAGGGAGGGAGGGGTCTGAGGCAGGCCACAGAGCGTTCTCAGGCCGGCCAGCCAGGGCCCCTTTCTCTCCATGAGATCATATCTGGGTCAAAGAGCATGTAAAGCAGGCGGACCCTGGCGGCCACACAAAGCCCATTCAGCCCGACCCCTATTCACTCACCTCCTCTCCCCCAGAGCCCAGGCGGCAGCGACCCCAGCACAGGGCCTAAGCCCCAGCTTTGATGTCCAAGAACAGAAAACGGCGATTAAATGTTGTTTTAAAGAGGGAGTTGCTCACTGCCCTCCCATCTGTCAAGAGAAAGCTGAGGCCCCAGGGGGGAGGGGCAGGGAGGCCTGGGAGGGGGGAGACCTTGGGGCTGGGGTGAGGCCAGGGGAATGAGCGAGCAGGATCCCTGGGAAAAAAGGGATGGACAGAGGACTTGGAGGAAAGGGCCAGAGACTTGAAATCAAAGATATTTTTGGCAAAGGATTGGTTTTCATGATGAGAATTATGGAGAAGTATGTAGGCCAGAGACACAAAGGTAAAGCAAACACTGAGAGATGAGAGACAGGGGGTGGGCGACAGAGAGGAAAAGAAGGAGAATGGTGATTCTGGGAAGGAGACTGGAAGAAAGAGCAGAGAGCAAAGGGCGGAGTGGAGAAGCCGGCTGGTGGTGGGGCCGGGAGGGTGCGTCGCTCTCTCTTCCTGGAAGGTGGCCCGGGAAAGCAAGCATGGCTCCAGGTGAGTCTCTGCTCAGCAACCCCAGGGTCCGGCAGACCCCCGAGCCCTGGGATTCAATGGCTACTTTTCCCAGCCCTGCCAGAGCAGGTGCCAGGCGCAGGTCAGGGCTCCTCAAACAGGCCGCCGTACACGCAGGCCATGGTACACGCAGGCCATGGTACACGCAGGCCACGGTACACGTGGGCCACGCTACATGCACGCCTTCCCAGAGGCTCCCAGCCACGCTGGCGGTCAGGCCCTGTTTGTTGTACAGCTTGGCACTGGTTTATGTCCCAGAGGGGCCCCTTCTGGGTCCCTAGCTTTGGGGAAGGAGACAGATTATTCCATGATAACCCAGGTAGGATGGTCTCAGCCAGATGCCAGGCCAGGAGCCTAGGATTGGGGGGAATGGGTTTTACGCTACAGACGACCAGGACGAGGCTTCCATCCAGTAAGAGGAGAGAAGAACCGTGCAGGGCAGCAGCCTTGGCCCAGGGACAGGGAGAGGAGGTAGGGGACAGGCCCACTGAGTTTTGCGGAAATGATTTATTCTGTCTGCACCTCTGCTTCCCACCAGTTCCCTCCAGCTCCCGTCTCGTCTCCCCAGGGAAGGGCTGCCACAGAGCTGGGGACCTCGAGTTAGGTGGCGGCCCCTTGGGGAGAAATTTCTGAAGTGTGCTTAGCTGCGAAGAAAACCTGGAACTTGTCAGTATATAAAGATCAGATGGGAGGCCCTGCCCGTGGAGTCCCGGAAAAAACAAACCTGGTTTGGTATCAGGGGATCCGGGTGCCAATTCTGACTCGCCAGCTATGAGCAAGTGTGACAAGCCAGAATGGCGGCTCCCTGTGGGTAGGGACCTGTCTGTTCTGTTCCCACCTTGGCCCCGCTGACGGCTGGGCCAGGACCCCACGTCGAAGGAGTGAACTAGTGATACCTTCTAGCAAGTATCAAACGACCCAGCGCATTTCACCCTATTTTCAAAGTTTTCAAGTATTAGAAAAATGCCACAGGCGTGTGCTTTATAATCACGGTGGAAAAGTACCACAGGAATAAGGTTGAGTGTGTACCCCAAGTTTTCTCAGTCCACATCCCCAAACAGAGATCTCAGTTCCTCAAAGTGCTCCCCACCCAAGAAAAGGCACAGAAGACAAAGCCAAAAAAAGGGGAGGGACGCTTCGAGCCAGAGACAACTGAATTAACTTTATTCTCTTCTAACTGCAGATTCAAGGTATACAACTGAACATTGCTATTTTTCTTATGAGACTTATAAATAAAAATACAAAAAATGTTCACTACAAAAAAATCTACTGTTAGTAGGATGTAAAAAATATTCTCTTTGCTATAGAAGGCACAAACTTCACTTAGTGACACATGGAGAGAGAAAAAAACCTGCAGCAGTAAATTCGTTTTTTCTTTCCTTTTTTTTTTTTTTTTTTTTTAAGTCTTGTCAGAAACACTGAAATTACAAAGAAACGCATCAATCTACACGGAACGAGGGCAGATGCAGAAAGCTGCAACCATGGCCACAGGACTTGGGGTGGACTGCTTCGGGACTAGAACAGAGAGGACTGGCGAGGACCACGGGGGTCTGGGGGGGCGGGGGGCAGGGGGAGGGGGTGGAGAGAGAGAAGAGAGCAAGGGAGAATGGAACAGGCCCCACTTGAAAGGGGAGGTGGGGCATGGGAGGGCAGGAGGAGGAGAGGAAGAGATTGAAAGAGAGATTTGTACAAAAAATTAACCGGTAAAATTGAAGAAACAAAATTGGGCAACCTCCTAAAATTAGGCTAAGAGGAGGTGCTGAGGTAGACATGAACTAGAACATCAATTAATTAAAAACACTATTCTGTAATACAGAGCAATCGGACTGGCACTTGTGCTGTCACGACATCAGACAAGCCACAAAAACAAACAAACAACAAAACAAAACATAATACCCAAACCGAAAGGCTTGGTTTTGCTTGGTCCGGCAGGGCCACAGGGCTCTCAGTGCTGTAATTTACATACATATATATATATATATTTATCTTTATATATAGGGGATGATGTCATGGTGCACCACCACAGCTTCTTAACCTCACAAAGATCATGCATAACACTATGGGAACAAATTCTAGGACACGCCAGGAGGCGGGTACCCTGTCTGCAAAGGGGAATGCCCGTCAGCACGGGGCGGGGTTGACGGCCCTGTGGGGCCCCTCTCCCCCCAGCTTTTCCCCTGACCCAACCTCCCCGGTCTGGCCCTCGCCCTCTCCTGGGCCAGCTGGCCTGTCCCTCCACCCAGCAGCCTCTCCTCGGAGCCTTAGTCTGGCTTTGCTCCCTCCTCCTGTTATACCCAGGTAAGTGCCGCCAGGAAGCCCAGGCAGGAGGGGACCAGGTGGGAGGGGACCAGGACGTAACTAACACAGGCCGAGGGAAAATGAACAGTCGGATGGTTTTCTGGTTTTCGGTCTACTTCCGGCGCCCCCAGCTTCCACTCTTACTGAGCTTGCAGGGAACTGGCCATAAGCCTCGCCCTGTCCCCCCCGAGTGGGCCATGTCCAAAGGCCACCCCCACTGCTGCTCACCCACCCCCCCCGTCAGGAGAGAAGCCAAAATATCCTCTCCCTCTGGGGCCCGGACGCGCCTGCAGCCGCCTGTGCCCACGGCATCCAGAAGGGTACCCTACACTTGTGAAAAACTGCAGGTTTTTTTTTCTTATCTTTTTTTCTAAACATGGAAAAACTGTTCAGGCACAAAGATTATTAACCAAGCCCACGCCGCATCCCTGGATTGTACAGACTCACTGGCTCTCCCAGCCTCCCTACCCTCCCCCCGGTACCCCAAATCTACCTTCCCCATATTCGTGGCCTCCTCCAAAGCAGCCCAAAGCAGCAATGATATTTACTATTTTATATCTCTCTCTTGCTATATATAATATCTCTCTATATATTTGTCTATCCTATATACACATAGGATTTGAATGCTTTGAAGGAGTGAAGAGCAAAAGCGCACACGAGTAAGAGGTCAATGTCACCCAAAGCAGGGAGGGACAGGCTGGTAGGAGCTGAATCTAAGAATGGGGCCATCATCAACTTGGGACTTTCCAGGCTGAAGAAGTTTCACTGATCTGAATAAGGCAGCAAGTAGCAAGTGGGGTGTCAGCAGTACCAGAGCTGAAGGCGAGGGGCGGCCAGGTGGTGAAGCAACGAGGGGTACAGGACTCTGATCTCACTTGGGGAAAGAGCACCCCCACTCCCTCACCCCCAACCCCTTTATCCAGAGTGTGGGAAGCCGCCAGGTAACTTCTGACCCTCACCTGGGCCCTGAGGCCTGCCCAAGAAGGCCTGGACCACATCACAATTCCTTTGTGAGTAGGAAGCTGGGACAGAGGCACGTGGGACTCTATGGGGGTGTCTGGGCTGGGCATCCTCTCACCCTCTCTCCCCTCCCCCAGGAGGACCCGGTGGGGGCAGGGGGGGACTGATTCGTGCCATCCAATGCTGCAACACCGGGTTACGACAATACTGCATGACTGAACACACAACCACACACAAAAAGCACACGCGCACACACACGCACACACGCACAAAGGGAAATTGTGTTATTGGTGGTGTGGATTTTTTTTTTTTTTTGTCTTTTTTTTTGCTATTCACATTACAAAAGGAAAGGGCAAGGTCCTGTAGAACTGACGAAGGAACTAACAAATATTACAAAAATATTACAATTTGTCAATATTAGCTCAACCCTCGCAGCTATTACTAACAGGGGAGGAGACCCAGGCTGTGTGGGCGGGATGGGGGGTGAGGGGCGTCAGCTAGGTCTATGGAATAGTTTGATTTTTTTTTTCCTTCCCCACCAAAGTTGAGTGACATCTCGCTGTTCAAATACTGTTTTCTGGGATTTACAGATCCCGTGAGGGCCACCCAGTTCCCCGCTTCTTCCCAGACTGGGGGAGGAGGCAATAGTGCATAATGATTTCTTACAGACTGCCCCTCCCGCGGATTCCACTCTCTTCACATTATAAACACAACTGCTCTAGTCACGTATTTCAAGTTTAACTTTTTTCCTTTCCAAAGCACTAAGTCATTATTCTAGTTGCAAAACAGCATCCTCCCTACGTTATCATCCCCAATCAACAGTCTAGTGATACCCCGCCCCTCCAAGCTACATCCCCCCAACACACAATTTTTAAGGCCTTCAGATTTGGTGGGTGAGATTGCAGGGGAGGGCTGGAGCGATGGTGCTGGGGGGATGGGGGTGTTCACAGCAGCACCCATCTCCCCAACATCCCGAAATTCCTCACCACCTTTTTCCCCAAAACCGCTTCCCTAAAACCACTTTTTAAGACCTAAGATAAAAGCACAGCCAACAGCTTTCTCAGAGAGAGAAAGGAAAGAAAACACACACACACACACACACACACACACACACACACACACACACACACACACACACACACACACACCCCCTCTTACAAATAAAGCATGAGATGAAACGGAGCGTCCGTCCCAAAGCGAACACAAATATTGCAAATGTGCTTTCCAAAATTCAGGGTGGGGTGGGGAGGCTGGGGAGAAGCGGGGAGCAGAGCAGCAGAACAGGAGGCAAGAAGGGGACAAAAAGGAACTGGACAAACATAAGAGGTAGCTTTTAGAAAAACAACACCCCACCCCCCCCAAATGCAACAAAATCAAACCAAGGCTGGCACATCCCCACACCGGCCCTGAACATATACATATACCAATTTTGGCAACAATCACGCACACAGAAGTGGGGGGTGGGGGCATGCTGCAGATTCTGAACCACAGGCCCCAGACCTGCAGGACTCAGCAAACTGTCAGCAGGTCCGCTCTTTTCCAGAGAAGGTCAGGTGAGCAGGGCAAAGATGACTCCTGCCTGCCAGAACCGACAGCAACTCCGGTGTGCCCCGAACACACCACCAGCCAGCCCCCTGCTGCCCGGCCTTCCCTGTCATACCCCAGGTTCTCAGTTCTGTGGCTACTTGCAGCTGGAAGGCTAGTGGCCTGGGGGGTGGGGCGGGCCTTGGCCAGCTGAAGTCCATTAACCAACTATTCATTTACACAAGAATTAGAAAAGAACACCCTCCCCATTCCAACCCCCAACCAAAAAAGAGATACAGGGGTTCTGAAAGCTCATGAGGTCACAAAAAACTGAGGTAATTCAAGTACAATGTGCTAACAGGGACAGGTACACAGAAAAGAAGCAAACGTAACACAAGGCCAAAGCGCTTTCTCCTTCTCCTGCCCTCCTCCTCCCTAGGACTGGGGGGCTATGAGCCAGGGATTCCAGCAGCTCTGGTTTCCCCACACCAGTTCGCCAGGTCTGGGGTCCCAGTAGGACTGGACATTTCCTACACCTGGCCCGGTGCCCCTCTCCAAGCGCAGGGCACTCTGGGGAAGGGCAGCCACAGCTTTGTGGGGCACACGCAACCCCCCCCCTCAAGGGGCTCCTTCTCCTAGGGACTTAAGTGGGGTTGCAGGGATCTGGTTGGTTGGATGGGACAGGACATCTTCAGTTGTTATGTTTTTGCATTTTGGAAGCAAAAGCAGCTCAGCAGGAATCTTGCTCAAGACAGAGCTTGACTAGGGTGGGGTACTCCATCTATTTTATGTTCTCAAAAAGCTAAGGGTGGGAGTTGGGTCTCTGGAGTCAGCCCCCCACCAGGGAGGGAGGGACCTGGGTGAAGAGGGTGGTGCTGCCCTCATCCAGAAGAGGCTGGGCACCCCCTGGAGGTCAGACAGCTTGGGGGGTGGGGTGGGGCAACAGGAGTTGGGGGAGGGGCAAAAGCTGCAGTTTTTGAAGACCCCATAGGGGGGACTCCCCATTGTGGCAGAGCTGAGGAAGCAGCTGATGAACTGAAAGGTGGGAAGGGGAGGAGAGTCCCCCACCCCAATGGGCCCCAGCAAACTAGAGCTGCTGTTGTTGAGGGTCAACCAGTGACACCTCCTCCTACCTCCACCACCATCTGCAAAACCCCCATTTGCCCCCCAACTCCCTCAGCCCCCGCCTTCTCATGGTCAGACTGTTTGTCTCTGACCAGAGGACCCCTAACTCCTGGCCTCCCTTTCTGGACACAAGTGGAAGTCTGCGCGGAGTAGGGCACAGATCATCTGTGCTGAACACTGGACAAAGCCACTTCTGCCCCCACCCAAAAAAGCCAGGCCAGTCTCCAGCCCACAAAGGGGAGATGGAGGCCCCTGGAGAGGGGCAGTGAGTGGCCAGGAGTCCAGTCACCTGGAGCCCCAGAGAAAATCCAAGGCCAGACAGCTGTCAGGTTTCCTTTCACTTTGCTTTTTTTTCCTTTCCTTTTTTTTTTTTTTTTTTTTTTTTTTGCACCATCCTTCTTCCTCTACTTCATCCTGTTCTAACTCCTCTCCTTGCTCCCCACTCCTCTGCACGCCTCGCGCCTGGCTTCAAACGTAGCACAGGTAGAGGTACGTCTTCTCTATCCTCCAGTCGGGCGGGATCTCCTCTGGCTTGTGGCCCTTCATGTGCTTCTGCATGGAGGACAGGCTGGGGCAGTACTCCGTGCAGATGGTGCACTGGTAGGGCGAGGCGCCGTTGTGTGTCCGCAGGTGCTTGATCATGGCCGAGTAGTCCCGGGAGCGCTGGTGGCACAGCTTGCACTCAAAGGGCTTCTCACCTGTGGGAGGGGGAGGGCAGAAAGCCAGAACAGAGAGAGAGGCGGTGAGGGTCCCTCCGGGAAGCACTGGGCCCACACTCTACCCTCGGGCGGGCTGGAGACGTCCATCCCTCTGGCTGGGATCTTTCCCACGGAACTTTCCCGAGGGTGGACGCACCACCCAGTGTGCTAGTCACCAGTTAGCTGCATGCGGCTCTGAGCACCGGAGAGGTGGCTAGTGTTCCAGGAACTGCACTTTCAATTTTATTTCACTACCACCAATTTAAATTGCCACATGTGGCTGGCGGCTGTGGCACTGTCAAGCTCTACCCCCTGGCCTTCCTCTTAGCTCTCCCGAAGGCAGATCCTTCTCTTTATAAGGAAGGAAGCAGAGGTTGCAAAGAGGGGCAGTGGGATGGCTCTCCAGCCCAGTTCCATCTAGGGAAGAAAGGGATGGAGTCCTTTCAGGGATACAGGTGGTGGGGAGCAGGGTGGGGTGAAACTGACAGAAGCCAGTCCTTCCAACACGCCACCCTGGGAATGTCTGTTCCTCTAAGGCTCTGAGAACCTGCCCTGGAAGCTGCTGCCTCTCTGGGGCTAGCCTGGAGGGTAGGGCAGGGAACCTGGGGACACAATGCCACGCCCTGGCTGCTCCCTCACCACCTTCCCTCTGCTAGAGTCCCCTGGAGCTGAGCAGAGGATGTGAGGGAACCTTGTTTCAATACAGTAATTAACTGGCCAGCCATCTCGTTATCGATACTCCTCCGTGCAGAGGCCCCAGCAAATAATGAAGTAATGAACAGGCAAAGTGATCTAACCATCGACCGGCTATTTACAATCGTCACTGCCAATGCTTTTAATGATCCACCCGCCAGGTCACATCCCCGACAAGGGGCTAAGGAAGCCCCAGGGCTCAGGGAAATCCTTGGGGTCATTCAAGTTGTCAGCAATGAGCTCCCCCAGCCTCTCCTCGTGGCCTGAGCTGGAGGCGAGAAAACAGCCAGGACACACATCCTCTGTGTGCTCCTCCCGGCCCAGGGAACAAACTGTCCTCGAGGTCAGCAGGACCTGCCTGAGGACACTGACCACCCTTCCTCTGGACAGGACAGGTCAGAGGAGGTTTCCTGGGTGGCCAGATTCCACTACCTCATCCCCAGCGGAAGTCCTTCTGAATATTCACCATCCCCTGAGCCAGGGGCGTGCAGATGTGCAGCAACTAGCTCTCCAGAAAGCCCTGCTGTGCAGGCCTTGCCCGTGGCCATGTGGTAGGCCCTCCCACTATGGCTGACTACAGCAAAGCCACTGAACTTGGAGTCAGAAGGAGACGCACAAAGCTGGTTTTCACAAGTGGTGTCGCCAGCTCCAGCTTTCTACTGCCCCCAACTTGGGCAATTCTGGGTTTCTGGGCCACATACAGACCCCAAGGGAAACCGGGCTCACATCTCCTTTCTGTAAAAAGGACCACAAAGGCTCTCCAAAATGGTCAACCATCATGCACGTGCAGGGTTACAAAACACACCTGTTAGTTTCACCCCAGTACTCAACTCAGTCTAACTCTACAATTGCCCAGCCCTCAGAACCTAACTCAGTGCCCCCAGCTCTTACCCCGACCCTCAAGTAACACGACACACCCTAACCTTCACTTTCAGCTAATTTGGGTCGATTTAGCCCAAATTCAGGATGCAGGGCCTCTCGCTCATGAACTGTGATCTACTGGCCTGGCTGGTCTGGCTCATGGAAGGAGTACTATAATTGGTGAGCAATGTTGGCCTTGGCCTTGCAAGGAGGCAGTGGTACTCAGACACCACACTGACCTTCGCACAACTGGTTCTACTCTTTGGACCCTCCTCACCCTTGGCCCCTCTGCAGAAACTCTGTCCTTCAGCCCACCAGGCCCCAGAGCCAGCTCAGGGGTGCCCCTGGTGCCAGTACCTGTATGGACCCTATAGTGCGTCTCCAGCTGGTGCTTGAGGCTGAACTTCTTGCCGCAGCCGTTGCACTCATAGGGTTTCTCGCCCGTGTGGATGCGTTTGTGGCTCTTGAGTGTGCTCTCATCCCGGAAGCAGCTGCCACAGAACTCACACTCATATGGGTGGTCACCTGTGGGGACAGGGGCTGCATCAGGACCTTGTCCCCCTTTGGGGTCAGTAAGGCATGTTCATGGGAGCAGGAGGATGAGCTTGCCTGCATTCACCACCTCCGCAGATGACCTTGCGACCCCAATCTCTGCCCTTCCCCATAGCATGGTGTCCACACATGTCCATATGCCACTGGGGCCCAGTGGCCATCCACGGGCCAATGGTCAGTCTTGGAAACAGAGAATCCACTTGGTTCAGGGATAAAGAGAAGTCCCCAGGATACAGCCCCACCCAGGGCAAAGCTGATCTGGGGGCTTAGAGGTCTTGCCCCTCAGCCTCTCATACTACCTCATCTTTGTTCCTTCTAAGTCAGTGACAGGAGTCATTCTGCCCTCAAAGATAGCCCTCCAATTTGGGAAACAATGACAATACTGCCCCCCAATACCTTCTGTTCTTGCTCCCCTCCATACTTTTACAAGCCATTCTGATTTCCCCATCTCAACCTGGCAAACTCCTAGTCATCCTTCAAGACCCAGAAGCTTCCTTCTGGTCCCCCTGGCAAAAAAGAGTCATACTTCCCTCTCGGTCCACAAAGGGAAGAAGTCCCAGTACTTCGTTCCTTTAGTAAAAGTAGTATAATTGTTATGACACTTTATAATTAATAAAGCCTTTGGGGTCTCCCCAGTGGCGCAGCGCTTGAGCGAAGCATTGTGAAGCTGTCCACAGCCTCTGAAGAGCGGGTTTGATTCCCAGCCAGCCAGGGAGATACCCACATGGCGTGGCAGACCGCTCCTGTCTCACCCACTGCTCCCCTCAGCAGTGCTTTCAGTCCGTCTGCCTGTTCTGCTCCCCATTCTGTCTCTGGTGAATCCTCTCACCCTCCCGTGCCTCCGGCCTTTACTCCAGCTCTTGTATAAATAAATAAATAAAATTTAAAAAACAATAAAGCCCTGTGTGTTAAGTGTCCATTGCCATGCTAAGAACTTCGCAGGGCCCCATTATATGATCCTGCCACAATACTGCAAGGAAGATGTTATCATTCTCATTTTACAGATGAAAAACATGAGCTGCTAAGAGCTACTTAAACATGGCCCAAGTCAAAGCACTGGTAAGCATCTGGGTGAGGATTAAGATTCAGGTTCCAGAGACTGGTCTCTGGATACTCCCACATTGCTGTGTCTCCTATGATGTCCACCACCCCTCTAGAATAGAAATACCTCAAAAACAGAGGCACACCTTGTTGATCCTGGCAGCCTTAGTAGCTAAGGACAACCTAGAGCAGAAACTCGGGAAAGATGAGGCGGGCAGAACTTGGGGAGGATTTTCCTTGGCCTGGAATCTATGCCCAACACCCTACCTTTTGTGCGTTTGGCACTTAAGTTCCTGGGATGGGGAGAGGTCAGGTGTAAGGATTCGCCTTCTTTAGCGTTGTACCCAAAGTGGGAGCTTTGGGGATGAAAGGTGAGGACTCCAGCTACTTATTTATTACAGGAGTGAGGCAAAGACAATAAAGATAGATTGATCACCCCAGACTTTGTTCATGAATATTTAAATATCGCTGATTCGTCTTGTCACTGTAATTACAATTTCTCTGGGCTGCATCTCCAACAACCACAGTTTATGGTAAAGAATGGCCCACTGTATTTCACTTGTCCCTCTGCAGATGTGCGGGGCTGCCAACCGTGTAATGTCCTCTGCATTTCATACATTTTCTTCAGCTGCTGAAGGTTTAAGTCATCCACAATGACCTACGTTTTTTCATTATCCCCATGTCAAACTGCGCTCGTGCCTGGGCATAAATTGTCCTTCTCGTTATAGACTCGCATGCCTATGCCTTCACTTCCTCTTTAAAATGATATTTTACTCTCTCTACTCTCCCCTCCTCAGGTCGCCAACCAAACCTCCCTCCTCTCAAAAGCTGGCCCCTCTACCCACATAAATTCTCATCTCTTCTGATGCCTCAGAAGGGTTTTTAAGGCTCTGTGGGAAGTGGCTGCTGGGGTCTGCTCCCCGGCAGGCTCTCTCAAGGGTGGAAAATTTGCAAGAAGCTCTTCTGCCAAGAGAAGCCGGATGGGGGAAGCTCAGAAATAGGGCCATTTCTCCAGAGCTGATCCCATCTCTCCACGGGGCACTGTCCTGGCCTACGGCCTGGCCAGTGAGGCCCTCACAGGGGACCTGGGAGCAAACGGGGTGCTCAGGTTCTAGGTCCCTGCCAGGGCTGTGCAGACTCACCGGCCCCCTCCAACGCAAGGGGAGGAGAACCCCAGGCGGACCCCAGCCCCATTAGCCGAGCGTCTGACAGCGTGGTCAGCCTGGGCCTGCCTGCCACGCTCTCTGCCTATGCGTCTGTGCACACGGCCCGTCCGCCATCCAACAGCCCCTCCTTGCCGAATCGGCAACGATTACGACTTTAATCAAGGATTCAGTATCCTCATTAAGATATAAATAAATAAATAAAGCAAGGGCCACGTGAGACTTCAGCCAGAGCCGGTAATTAAAACGTACATCGGCAGCCACCCAGTGGGGCGTGAGGCGGGGGGACCACCGCCGTCTGCACCAGCCCCCTCCAAAGGGTGGGGGGGAGCTAAGAGGTTTTTTAAAAAAGGGTTAAAACAAGAGGTTTGTTTGATCCAATTTTTATGAATTTAATTATGAAGTGGATCACATGTTAAATGAGTTTAAATAGGAAATCTCCAGAGCCTGCCCCAGGAAAGGAATTAAAAAAAAAAAAAAAAAAAAAGACACCAGCACTTACACACACATATTCATGCTCACAGATTTTGAAGCCTGGTGAGCACCTGGCCCCAAATTCTCACCCTGAGACTTAATCGTGTCAGTGTTGCCATAATGTACACAAAACTGACTGCAGAACTCAAAATCCAATTTGTGGTATGTTGATTAACTCTGGAGCCTCTTTAATGAGCTTGACATTAAGTGCAGGACAAACCAGACTAATTAGAGCCCCCTCCGGCCTGCCCAGTGCACCTGTGACCCCTCAGGCTGTCCTTACCTGAGGGTCTTCCCCTGACAGGGCCAAGCCCAGCGTGGTCCTTGCCACCCCAGTCCCATCCCATGGGCTCCTCAGGCCCCTCCTTCCCGACCCCTCCCTTCAGCACAGCTGAGAGTTTATTATATGATGAGCCATGTGAATCAGGGATCCATCAATGCCAAGAGCGCGGCTGTACTAACCTACCAAACACAGCTGCCAATGCTAAACACCCGGCCCTGGCAGCAAATGGGCCAAGAAAAACGGAATATTAATGAGGCATTGTGTAGGGGGTGTGCACAGCCTGTACATGGCTTGTGTGTCCAGGGCCTTGCTGGTGTGCAAATCGATGGGTGTTTGCACGGCAACACACATGCTTTGTGATACGTGGACTGAATAAGAGCTTCTCCCAAAGTGTCTGAAAACAGCCCCTCTGCACAGACCTAAGCCACGGCTGGCAGAGGGGCACACAGCACTTGCTATCTGAGCACTCAGGAGCAAGGCGTGTATTGGGTGGGCAGAGCAGGGTCGGAATCATTCAAATCACATGAGTCAACTGCTTTGACCCAGTGCACTCAGAAGTGGCTGCATCTTTGACTAGGCTCACTTGGGGACTTGCTGGGGGTGCTGTGGACAGAACAGTGCATACACCTGCAGGGGATGCTTATGCAATCACTTCAGGGAGAGTGTTAGTATCACTTCCTACTTAGCCCTTCTCGTTGGGCCCTACCCTCTGTGAACTCCCCAGCCCCCTGATGACAAATCCAAGTAGCCAATTTGGTGACCCTAAGGCAATGTGCTCAATAAAATGGCACCAAGGCAAAGTCTAGGCAGGCCTCTTGGTGAGGATGCCTACTGCAGGCAGGACAAGCAGCTCCATCCATGATAAATCAGCCTCTTGTTCTGCAGAGCCTGCATCCTCTATGTCAGAGCAGTGACAAGACCCAAGAATGAGGTGAGAAAGGATCCCACTGTTGCTGTCCTGAGGCACACCGACTTTTTCACACACTCTGCAACACACACACCCTCTGTATAACCAGCTGTGGAGTCTGCCAGTCTCTCGCCCTGTCCCAGCCCCCCTCCCCAAAAGCCAGAACACACACACGCAGAGACTCGTGCAGACTCAAAACTAGAAACACTCAGAACTGTCCATGTATAGTCAGCAAAGACTCAATTTTGTTTTAGAGAAAGGAAGAGTTTAAGTCACCCTTTCTCTTGCTAGGAGCCCAAGGGGAAGGAAGTGAGGGTCTCTTGGCCCTCAGGGAGCAAATGTCCCAGCCCCCTAGACAGTGGCGGCAGGGACTGGTCAGCCCCAGACACCTGGCCCAAGTCCCTTTGGTTCACAATTACTTTTCCCCCCATCATCTGGACCTGCCCAAACAGAGGTGTTTCATGGCTCATGGTTTAGCTGCCCTTATTGTCCTCCCTCAACAAGGTCCAAGTATCAGAGTTTTGCTTCTGCCACTGTGGAGCAGGCAGGAGATGTCTCAACACTTTAGGGCCCGAGTCTGTCGGCAGGAGTGTGTAGACATGGAGGGGGGCCAGTGTGAGGAATGGGGGAGTGGCAGAGAGGGTGAGGGACCCAGCTGGTTGGGATGCATTTCCCAAATGCATCCTCGGTCCACCTGCATCAGAATCCCTTGGAAATGTTTATAAATGATGCTGGGTCTTGGATCCCACCCCAGACCCACTGAATTAACCTTCCTGAGGGCGGCACCCAAGAGTCAGCATCTTTCATGAACACAGAGAAATGGAGAACCAATGGTCCCCAGGTGCCCGTACCCACCTGCCCCATTTGCCCCGACACACCCAACCCTGGAGCAAATAAAGGCTGAGGGCCGGCTTAGCCAGGCTCCCCCACTTTGTGTTACTGCAGGGAATTCAGACATTAGCCCCTCAAGCCCTGTGCCCACCCGTCACCTGGACTGGCCTACCTGTGTGTGAGCGCAGGTGGCGTTTGAGGGCGGTGTGGCTGGGGAAGGTGCGGTTGCACTCACTGCAGATGTAGCTGCGCACGCCAGCGTGGACCTCCATGTGCTGCTGGAGCGCACTCTGCGCCTGGAAGCGCTTCCCACACAGCAGACAGAAGACGGCCATGTCTGTGCCTGTGGGAAACAGCAGTGGGAGAACTCAGGAGGGCTCAAGGCTGTTCACCACCCAAGCTAGAGCAGGAGCCAGCGTTAGGGCCTCATGCTCGGGGGCAAACTTGGAGATGACCCCGCGGAGGCAGCACTGTGTGCTTGACCGGGGTGCAGAATCAATGGCCTCCCACGCTATGAACCTGACGCCCAGTGGGAGAGAGAGACTTCATTCAAATATGTCACTGAGCAGATGTCGCATCAAAAGCAGGTATCAGAGGGAACTTTCAGAGTGTGGGCATGAGGGGGAAGTCAGGGATCACAATCAGGGTGGCCTGATGAGGGATCACAATCACAATGGGAAGGTAACACGTGCCATTGTCCAAATCAACTAGTTTAACGTGACTCCAAAAGGTAGACTCTGTATCTTCACCCTTCAGGTAAGGAACCGAGGCAGGGAGAGATTGAATGACTTGTCCCAAGTGCCTTAGTGCTCCTAAGGGGCAGTGCTGGGATTCAAACCCAAATAGCCCAAAGGTGGATCCTCTCCTGATGATGACAGTTACAGACCCCATGCCTTTGATCTTGTCTCATGAAATCACATGCCTTGCAAGTCCATTCATTCAACAAACATTTTAGCACCTTCTCCCAGCAGAACTCTATTTTGGGTGGGGTGGGGGATGTAACCATGGAAAACCATACCAAGTCCCTGCTCTCATCACAGGTATTACCCCGCACAGGCCCCTGGGGGAGAGCGTTTCAGGAAGACCAACTAGCACCTGTAAACACTGGGTTGGGAACTCATGTGGTGGGTCAGGACCAGATGGCGGACATCAGCTGGGGACATCGGAAGAAAGTTGGGGGTAGGCTCCAGAGGTGGGAAGGGGCTCTCAGTATCTCAAAAACCATATTAAGAGCTAGAAGCTTCATCCCAAGACCAATGGCAACTGTCAAAGGATTTTAAGCTAAAGAGCAATATGAGATTTCCATTTAATTCAGTGTGGCTGTTCCCTGCCCTGATCAGGAAGCACAGGTACCACAGAGACAGGCTGCCACTGTCTGTTGTCAACCGCCTTTCCAACGCTGCTCCAGACCCAGGGTCCTTCTGGGCACAGAACCCACCAGAAGAAGGGTGTCCATCCCTGTCTGAACCCTACCTGGTGGCTCATCAAGGGCCCACCAGTTTGGACTCCTTTTCTTCAAGCAAGTCACCGTCTACACCACAAGGCCCATCTGCCCTCTCTTGGCTGCACCTGGGCACCACCACCTGTGCTCAGCCATGCACCACCTCCCCGTGCAAGAGGGTCACACACAGGAAAGGTGGTCAGGCCCAGTGTCGTCAGCTCAGCCTGGGGAAAAGGAGGGGCAGAGCTCTGACTGCTGGGAGTGGTAGGCTGCTCTGCTCAGTGTAGAATTGGTGGGCTCCTGGTGGAAAGTGGGGTGAAGGAAAGGGCTGAAAAAAGAGCCTCAAGGCCTCCCTCCTTCTTTTATTATACTTATTGTTTTTTTTACATCATTGTCCATTTTTAAACAATATCGGCTTCCCCCCACCCCCTAAGGTGTAGTCCCTACAGAATTTCCTTCCCCAATGCACCCGTGCACCATCACCTCAGTCCCCTGTGCTCCTCCCTCCCTCCCTCTGATCCCTCTCCCTTCCCCTCCCCTGCAGGATGTCTCTGCTTTATAATTGTCCATTTTTGCTTTGTTGTGTTTTGTACTGTTATTTTTTTATACTGATGTCTCATTCGGCTCCCCTATATTTTTGCTATAAGTGAAACCATCCGATACTTTTCTTTGTCCTTCTGACTTATTTCACTGAGCATAATTCCCCTCCCTCCTTCTTGATGCCCATCATGGCTGGGTCTGGGAAGCACTAGTGGGAAGGCAAAGACCACCTCTCACTGTCCTACCTCCCCATCACAGCTGCACCCACAGATCCTCTGAAAACCAGGACTCTGCAGCCATGCTCCATCCACCAGCGGTCACTGCTTCATCAGGTGAGGAGGCTTTGAAGGGGAGAATGAATACCAGCAAGGGTGAGGTTTTGTTCCTGGCCTCAAAGAGCAGGAGCCAAGGGAAGCTAATACAGGCATCGTGCTAGGTGCCTTATCTGTGCTGTCATCTCCTGCAAAAGAAAGACCACCATGTCCCTACAATGAGCTCTTTCTCCTTCCTGGGACATCCTACAAAACACAGGGGCTCTCCCTGACCACTGAGCAGAGCTCAGAAGGAGAGCAGGGGCTCTGGGGCCACATGCACATCCCCCCCTCCCGTCCTTCTGTTTGAAGATCAACAGCTGAGAGGATGGAGAACATTTAAAAAGAAAAAGAAAAAGGGGGGTGTGTGAAGAAGTAGATGAAACACAGGAAAGCTATTGGTGCATGCAAGTTAAAAATCTTGAGACTAGATTGGAGTTATTAAACAATTTGCTGTAGTTTCTGCCTAGCTGATTGTTCGCATGTATGATGAGTCAGGGCAGATTCTATTATACTGGGAGATTAAGCAAATAAATGCTAGCTTTTGGAAACACATTAACATGTGGGACTATGGAAATAAAATTATCTAGAAAATTGTATTAGCAATTCATTAGCTGCAGTGAGATGTGTGGTGGGGAGAGGGGCTGAGCTAGTAGCAGGCTGTGTTCCTTTCAGCAGCGAGCCCCTGAGATCTACTCACTGCTCCTCCTGCTGTAGAGGGAACTTATGTGGATGCCAGTGGGGAGAGGGGAGGAACCCCCACTGGTTGCAAAACATCTTCAGAACCGCATGGTCAGCATGACACAGGGGTCCTGGCCTGACACTTAACTCCCCTTGCGACCTTGAGGAAGTCATTACATCTCTCTGGACCAGAGTCTGCTCACCCTTTGCCATATTGCTGCAGATAGCTATGTAGAGCATCCAAGGAGATAAATGCAAAAACTTTATAACGACAAGGTAGTACGGAGCCCACGCCAGCCCAGAGGACACCTTTGAATTAGACATCATGCCCCATCCTCTGGGCAGACACTCATCTTCCCCAGGGCCTCACAACTCAGTGACCAAATGGGCCCAGGTTTTAGCATCTACTACCCTCTGGGCAGGGCACCCTTCCGCGGCGACATCCTGGATATGAAGAGTGGCAGCCCAGGCCATAACCCTAAGTTGTTCTTATTGACCCTGGGTTACTTCTTCTAGGAAACTGACCCCAGAGAGAGCATCTTGGATAAGTTATGCCAAGAACACCTTCCTCTGAGCCCTCACTATGACAGCATGTATTACCCTTTACTTACGTTTCACATTCGGCTCTGTCTGCTGCATCAGAAGCCTCCAGAGCAGGAACTCTCCACCTCATATCCTCTAACACAGAGCACAGGCACTCAGCTACTGTGTGTGGTATGTAAAGCATAAAACAGGAGCCGTGGGACAAACACACAGGCACAGTGCAGACAGCTAAAGGCTGAGACAGATTAGGTCAATGAAGCCCTGACTCGCAGCATCCAACAAGACTCTCCTTGGAAATCAGTGATGCTAAGTGACCAGTAGGCAGCCTCTTTAGGGTTTCTCGTATCTTCCTGGTGCACAGGAAGGGACTCCCAGTTCTTGCTCAGAAGCAAGGGGCCAGCCCATAGCAAGACTAGTTTTCCACACTGTTCAGTGTAACAGCCAGAGAACCCCGATCTGGCCCAGATGTGCAGTCCTTTCCAGCATGAGGCCTGAGACAGGTAGCTGCTGCCTCTGACCTCCCTTCTTCCTCTAGGAAACAACACTGCTAACTAATCTGCCTTTCCCAACACCAACTTCAAAGTGCTGTTCCGACGTGCCTGACAAATGTTTCCGAGTATGTCAATCCTACAACTTATTGTTTTCTAGCACTCTGTAAATTTCAATGTAAATCAGATCCATAAGTTATCCTTGGCCCAAGGAAATAATTTATCAGGTCAAAGAAGAGCATTTCCTCTGCTCTTCTGAAGAGTGAGCAGGGGGGCTGGTCTTAGGCTGCACGCCCAGGGGTCTGCTTACAGGAATTTGAACTAGGAAGGGGGAGTGGGTGTGGCCAGGCTGATGAAGAGCAGGCTGTCGGTAATATAGGCGGGGTCCACGCAAATACCCCACTCCCCTTGGTGTCAAGTCAGTCTCTGAAGAAGGTGACCCCCATCACACACCCACACACCTCCCCCAAGGACAAGCCAGTATTGGCTGCAAGGCATGTAAGACTCACAGACTCCCAATTTAAAACAAGTTTAATTTTAGCCCCAAACATGGGAGAAAGCCAAGGCCAGGGTGGAACAGGAGACAGGAGGGGTGATACAGATCCAGGGTATTTATCTCGCCCAGGTGATGACTGGGTCTGAAATTATGAGACACAAAAACCCTCATGTTTACACCTGTGCCATTTCCATACCAATTAGCTCTTTAATAGAAAGGAAGGAACAGGATGGGGGGGCACACAGCTGGAGAAGATGTTCAGGCGCTACACCTTCTTGGAGCAAGGCTCTTATTATCTCCAGCTATAAGCAGTTTCTTAATCAAAAGAGCAGAGGGATCTAAATATACTTTGGCTTTTTGGTGTAAGCTAGCCATGACTGCTCCATGTGCATGTGTCCATGTGTGTGCATGCCTGTGTGTGCACATGCCAGGTATGTATGCACACACACAAACCACATATGGGCTTCTCCTGACCAGCTCTGCCCACCCTCACCTAACGAAGCTAGTGCTGCTTCCACTGCCACTCCCAGCAGCAGCTTCTCCACATAGGAAGAAAGGATCAGATTTAGTGGGGGTGTAAAAACCTTAATTTCAACTGGAACTGTCTCCTACTGCCATGCCCAGGTTCTCTGACATGTCCTACTTCCTCTTCTAAGACACCATCTTCAGTCATGGGCAGCCCTTGTAGCCGGCCGGCCAAACCATCCCTGGGCCGCTGTCTTTTCCTTTCCTTATCTTCCCCAGCACCAGGTGACTGTTTAAGAACTGGCGAGGCACATCGTCCACCACACAGGAGAAAACACAAAGACAAGGTCCAGGCTGTCTCACACTAAGGCAGGAAGG